TCTTCTGTAATGGTTCATTAAACCACAATACTGATAAGTAATTAATAAAAATCAAAAGACCAAAGAGGTCACCTTAATACCAAAAAAAAAAAAAATAACAAATCAGAATCAAAAAAGATCACCTTAATACTGAAAAAAAAAAAAAAAAATTAAAAAATTTTAATTATTTTAATATAAAATTTTTAGAAAGTTTTAAGAAGCATTTGTTAACTTTTTTTAATAGTTTTGATAATAAAAGATATAAATGAATTTTTGTAAAGTTTTATTTTTAAATTGAGGTTTCTGATTTTAGGTTTTATGCTAAATAATAAGAATAATAATCGGCTAACCATAGCTGTTACGACAAAATTGTCATGTAGATCCTCAATTTTGATCGGGGTTCATAGGAAGACATTCATCTAATTGGCTAAGTTTTATATATCTACCCGTGATATCCCGTGATAATTTGCCAATCAGATTACAAAATTTAATCGAACGAATTCATAATACAGATAAAATGTTATACTACATACTAGCAAAACTTATATCCTATTCTTTATTAATTATCCTTTATTAATTATATTTAATTACATAATTGAGTAGAAATCATATTTTAATTATTACTACCTTTGTTAGAGATGCTACTACCTTTAAAATATATTATCAATTAGGCAATATCCTGTTTAATAAATTTATCTAATTGTTACTCACATTTGTAAATCATCTTATTTTTCAGTTATTACAATCGTTGCACCACTATTTTTAATTTATATTATTAATTAATACTACACGTTTCTATCCATACTATTGTAAAGCCATATTAAATCTACTAAATACTAAGGTAGTATAAATAAGTATTAGAATTATTAAAAGAAGTAGTTTAAACTTAAATATAATAAGTTACAGATTGTAAGGGTTATTTTTCAAATCTAAAGTTACCTTAAACGTCTTGATCGTTCTTTTTTTTTTTAACTATTTTTTCGCATTTAGTATTTGTATATAGTTAATATATATAGTAATAGCGAAACATTTGCTTCTAAGTGAAGTTCTTGAGAACGTTGATTATTTTTTGATTATTTGCACAATAAATAAAGCGTTCTTTCGAAGCTAGAAATGTTCGTTATGGTGACTTTTTTTATAAGTGAAACGTTACATTCTCAAAAAGTTTTGAAACTGTATAAATAAGTTACCCAGGCTCGGCCTATGAGATCCGCCACCAAAAAAGTTTCGAACATCACGTGACAAACGTATCGAGCACTACTTGGGACTATGTAGATTTTATGAATAAAAAGTAAAATTTCTGGCCATACAGTAATTCAATTCAAATAAACTTTTTTTATTCTGTAGAACTCGCTAAGCTCTATAAAATAAAAAAATTATTTGAATTGGATTACTGGATGGCTAGAAATTTTAATTTTTATTCATAAAATCTACGTCGTCCCGTAAGGTCATTTTTAAGGCACAGACTCCATTTGTTACTATTTGGTTTCATTATGTTTTCTTCAATAATTTTTTGTTGTTGCGTCTTGGATTCAGAATTATAAAAACCTTTTACTCAAATAAATAATCAGTTATAATTTTCTGGAAGAGCATTAAATTTATAATTTTATTTCGATTTTCATTTTTTTTCGTTTATATTGTTTATATTATTTGTTTACGCTAATCAACATATATTTTTAGAATACTGTGTTTATTGGATTTTATGCTTTTAACAATTGTTGAAGAATTGAAGAAAAAAAATCGAACTCACCTTTTATATCTCCAATAGTATTTTAACAATCTTTATCTCTTCTCATTTCTTTATCACAAAAATATATGTAAGTTAAAAAATATTGAACTATGATTAGGATTTTTTGATTTGATGAAATTGCAGTTGTAAGTAATTTATCAGATAGCCCAATATGATATATTTATATTTCTTTTTTTCAGTGATTCTAGTAGTCTAATTGTTTAAACTCTTTGCATATACAATTCTTCTTGTATTATGAGAACATTACTTACCAAATCAAACGATTAGGGTTGTAAAATTACAGTAATTTTACGTAATTTGGTGTAATGTAATTCACGTAATTTGTAATTCACATGATCTATACTTTCTGAGATCAAAATTTTCGGTGAATCAAATAATACGTAAAGCTGGTACAATATAACGTGATATGTAATAAATTACATATATTTGTGAAATTGTCTTGGATGGCCGATCAATTTTGGCCCGCATTACATAATTGTTTACTAATTTCTGGCCGGAATTAACTTTTTGATTTTTTTATTACAAAAATTACCACCCCAAAAAAAAGTTTCGAAAATCATGTGATATTGTCAATTCATCATGATAATAATATTTATTAAAATATCAACTTTATTGTTTTTTTTCTTCGATTCTTTAAAGTGAAAACCGGTCGTTAAAAAAGCATAAAATCCAATAAACACACTAAAGTATATGTTGATTGCCGTAACCAAATTTCCATTAACAATAAACGAAAAAAACGAAAGAAAATCGAAATAAAATTATAAAAACTAATCAAGAAAATGCAATTGAGCCAGAAAACCTTGTAGATTTTATTTTTAATGCTCTTCCGTAAGATTATAACTGAATATTTATTTGAATCTAGGATGCAGCAACAAAAAATTATTGAAAAAACAAGTAGTAACAAATGGCTTGATAGCATTAATAAAAACTAATCATTTTTAAAGGCAATGAAATATTCCAGTTATATGAATTTTTTGTTCGATGTATTTGTCACGTGAAGTTAGAAACTTTTTTGGGTGGCGATTTTACCCCGGTCTAATTTTCGAGTAATTCCGGCCAAATTTTTTGATCGTCTCTTTTAACCAATCAAAATCGAGAGTCTGCCGTTGTGGCAGCTAGGGTTAATGCTGCACAAAGTACTACGGTTTTTAAGAAAAGAAATTCTAATAGATCATTTTTGTGATGAGCTTTGGCTCATAGTTAGTGTTAGCCCATTTAAAGGTTATAATTAAAAATCCATAAGTATAATATTATAGTACGCAGTACTTGAGTTAATATTGAAGCATTGTCCATTGATTTGTGGCATGGTCTAGATCAAATGAGTGACGAAAAGGGAAAACCTGTAAATCATCTCACTCAATGAGTGAAATGATTTACAGGTTTTCCCTTTTCGGCACTCAAATACAGTATACCGATACGTAACGATAAGGAACATCAGATCAATAATTAACGTTAATAGTTTCCCTCATACTATATTTGGTTTATATATGTATATTTGTATTTACTCAATTTAGGTGCTTAATCGAAATTTTGATCGACAGTATATCAATATGCAAAGGAAACACGAAATAAAGTCCGTAGAGATGCGATCCGAGTATCTGCTAGTTTAATTTATAACAAAATTATACCAGTTAGCGGATACGGATAGTGGATAAGTGGACAATCTGGACTATCTGGGCGAAACGTCTTGGCGGATTATCCTTTATTTAAGGGAATTTTGAATTTAATAAATTTGGAATTTTATATTGAACTTTTATTCGAATTTCAAGACGAAAATTATGACATTCAAAGACTTAAATCCAACCAGACACCTAAGTATAATTTTTTTGAATGGTTCGCGATATAGTTTTGTATATACTGTATAATATTTATAAACAATACAGCAATATGTAAATATTATTGGGCAATAACCAAAAATTGGATGTGGATCTACCACCGATCCACATTTAATTTTTGATTATGGATAAATGTTTTATTCCCAGGTTCTTATTATACTTCTATACTATTTTTTTTAAATTAAAGTTACGCATTTCATAGAATTTAGCTTTACTACAATCACAAAACTTCTTTCAACTTCTCTTTGTTTTTTTTAGCCAATATCTTTACTTTTCGTAACTTTAATAGTTTAAAAATTCGTATAACGTTAAAAAAAGTAAAAAAAACGATATATAATCAAAAAGGAAACATAAAACCTCCGGATCAGCCCGAATCCGAAAAAAATAGTATAGAAGTATCCCTTAAACCGTCTAGCGGGCAAATTTGCCCGCTAAAATTTTTTTTGCCCAATTTTTGTACAATTGCCCCGAATTTTATTAAGACACACCCTCATATTCCCTAAGTTAAAATAAAAGTACACTACATGCTAGATGTCATGTAATTCTTATCTCAAGAAATTTCCTTAGTACTACTCCCAAAACCAGCTAAATATGGTTGACCGTACTATAGTCTCTACGTGACAATCATGAAAGATCTTCACGATCGTCACGTGGAGGTACCTTTCATAATATGATATTAAAGTTGGTCGAAGATTCTTCACAGAACTGATTTTGAGGCAATGCGAGGAAGATAATATAACTCAAAAGTTCAGGTAAAATGGCACCTATGCCCTTTATATGAATCATTTCGAGTATGCCACACTGCGGCTATCGAGTGTAACGTGTGGTTCGAGTTTTTGGGAGTCAGCATAGCTGGCTGTAATAAATATCTTCATAAAAAAAATTTTTTTATATTCTACTTCATCCAATTATTTTAGCAGGCAAATTTGCCGCTAAACCGGACGGTTTAAGGGATAAATAAGAGCCAGGGAATAAGATTACATATCATATGAAAATGTGTGCTGATTATTTGCTACATTATTTTTATACGTTTGGATCATACGATCGACATAATCCAAGATTACGTAATTATACTGAACGCCAATATTTCGTTAATATTAGTTAATCTTTTTAAATTAGTAACGGCAATAATGTCTCATTTATAATAGTAAAAAACTATTGTATTACAAGAATTATGGCATAAATGCCTCACTGTAATCACTACTATAGTGAGATTTTATTATATTAAATTAAAACATTAGAACATAATTAGCTCTTATGGTTAATTATATTATAAAAGTATTCTCCATGAGGCAATTACCATGCTGTATTTCGTCAGAAAAGCCAAAAACAAAAAAAACCAGTATAAATAATGTGGATGACTCTTTTCAGATTCGAAACTTGGCAATCTATTTTCCCACATTATTTATCCATATTTTTCATTTGCTGTAAACAAAATGAAACCAAAAATTTTAGAACCTCTCGCATCAGGCTCTAGAATCGTTAAAGCAAATATATCTTTATCAGGGCTATCCTGCATGAGTTGTGTCCAGTCTATTGAAAATGCATTACGAAGGCTTCAAGGTGTAATAGTACCTTCGATACATGTTTATCTGTCTACAAACAACGCCATTCTTGAATTTGATGAATCAATGACCAATATAGAAAAAATTAAAAAAGTCATACAAGATCTTGGCTATCATATTGAAGACATAGTTACAGAAGAGTCGTATGTTAAAATTGTCAACACTAATAATGACACAAATAATAAAAACAAGAATATTGTTGTAGACATAACAGAAAAACCATCTTCCACAATTCAGGGAAATGAAACAACAACTGTACTTACAATAGGTGGAATGTCATGTGCTTCCTGCATAAAAACTATTCAATCAGCTGTTGAATTAGTTCCTGGAGTAGTATCCATAAATATTAATTTGCTTACCACTCAGGCCACTATAAAGCACGATCCAAATCGGATTGGCCCACGTGATCTTATAACTAAAATCGAAGAACTTGGTTACGAACCTCAATTGTATATAAAGGGTCCTAATAAAAATGGTAACTCTATGCGCCAAAATGCCGAGAAAGAACAGAGAAAGATTATGAAAAGATTTCTCATTTCTTTAATTTTTGCTATTCCAACATTCTTCATAACTATGATCTTCATGATGGCATTACCAGAAACAAATTCCGTTCGTATGGCTTTTGAATATCAAATTATTCCTGGTTTAGAAGTTAATACTTTAATACTATTTATCTTCGCCACACCTGTCCAATTCATTCTCGGTTATCCATTCTACGTAAAAGGAATTCGTTCAATTTGGTATTCTCACCAAGCAAATATGGATACTTTAGTGGCTGTTGGCACAACTGTTACTTATATCGGATCATTGCTTAATGTATCAATACCAATTGCACGAAGGAGAAGTGAGCCAGGTCAACAATTTTTTGAAACTAGCATATTTCTTATTACATTTATTTATCTTGGAAGATGGTTGGAAGCAAGAGCAAAGGGTAAAACTTTCGAAACTATTACAAAGTTGATGGAGTTACAGCCAGAAAGTGCAACTCTCTTAACAATCACTCTTGATAAGAACAACCACGAAGTTGTTGAAGAGCGTGAAATCAGTTTGGAACTTGTTCAAGGTAAATAATTAACTCATTAGGAACGGGATTTCTTAACCCACTTCAATTCCATTCCCACTTACAACATATATATACATGTTATACCTATCTAATCTTTATTCTTTTAAAACTTAGTTGGTGATATTCTTAAAGTTAATACTGGTGCACGGATTCCATGTGATGGTAAGTATTTGCTAATCAACTATTGGTCTAATGATAGGGAAGTCTAAAGCGGAGATAAATCATGTGACCTATTTATGGTTTATAAATAGATTTATCATCCCTTTAGAGACATCTTATGTTATTTTGTCATTAAATTTGACTTTTTCGACTTTTTCGATTCTTTAGGGAAAATATTTCGTGGTGCAACATCCTTGGACGAATCCATGCTCACGGGCGAATCAATCCCTGTGACGAAACACGAAGATGATGACGTAATAGCTGCAACAATCAACCTATCTTCTTCAATTTGGATAAAAGCTACACGTGTTGGTTCTGATACTACTATTTCGCGTATTATCGATCTTGTTCAACAAGCTCAATCAAGTAAAAAGGCACCAATTGAATCTTTGGCTGACAAAATAGCTCAAGTATTTGTCCCTGTAGTAATATCAATTGCTATTCTCGATTTCATTTTGTGGTTTTCTCTTATTGCTACGGGCAAAATACCAACCAGTTGGATACCCGAAGGTGAAAACCCTGTAATTTTTTCTCTTTTCTTTGCCATATCTATTATGGTAATTGCTTGTCCTTGCGCTATGGGTTTGGCTTCCCCTACTGCCATTATGGTTGGTACTGGTGTGGCTGCCAATCTTGGTATCCTAATTAAAGGAGGTGGCGAAGCTATCGAAAAGGCTTTCCGATTGAATACTATTGCTTTTGATAAAACTGGTACTTTGACTTACGGAAAACCTCAAGTTGTTGGCACCAACATTTTATGTGAAAAACAAAACTTTGGTCTTGAAAATGGTGATTCTCGAAACGACTTACTATTATTGAAAATAATTAACCTCATAGAAAATGCAAGTGATCATCCTTTATCAAAAGCCTTAACCCAATATGTTAACGAAACTTTATCAAATGAGGATTCGATAACTAGTCATATAACTTTGGACTCTGTTAAGGAAGTTATTGGTAGAGGTCTTAAAACTCAAATAACCATTCACAGTACTGTACCTTTAACCTATAATGTCTTTATTGGTAATGAGGAATGGTTAAAAGAGAATGGTTGTATTTATCCACCTTATGCCACTCAAGAACAAGCAAACAAACTACTATTAGAATGGAAAAAATTGGGTTATTCAATTGTTCTCGTTGGTCTCTCACTCAATGTTTCTGATGAAAGTCAAAAAGAAGCTGTAGATCCAGGTTATATTTTAGCTCAATTTGGTATAGCGGATACACCAAGACCTGATGCTGAGAAAACTGTCAAATTATTAAAATCTCTTGGAATTCAAGTTTGGATGATTACTGGTGATAATAGCATAACAGCAAAAGCTATAGCCTCAAAACTTGGAATTGAAAATATTTTTTCCGAAGTTACACCTGAATTAAAAGCTGAAAAAGTCAAATGGTTGCAAAATCATGGTCGTACCATTTCACATCATAATAAATACTTTAATTTTCTTTCATCAATTCAAGCTATGTTTCAAAAAAGTTCTTACAATAATCAAAATGAAATTTCATACGATATTGAAGCAGTAATATCACAGCCAGCAATTGTTGCAATGGTAGGTGATGGGATTAATGATTCACCAGCATTGGCACAATCAGATTTACCAATTTCTATAGCAAATGCTACGGACGTGGCGATTGAATCATCAGCTGTAATACTTACAAGATCAACATTAACTTCTTTAACTACATTAATATTGTTATCAAGGACAATTATTTGGAGAATTAGATTAAATTTTTTATGGGCATATATATATAATTCTTTAGCTATACCAATTGCAGCAGGAGTTTTGTTCCCAGCAACTAGATTTGGATTGAGACCAGAATTGGCAAGCTTGGCAATGGTTTGTAGTAGTGTCAGTGTGGTTTTAAGCAGTTTACTATTAAAACGATTTAAGGAACCAAAATATTAGTAGGATGAAATGAGGCTGTATTTTGTTTCATAATAACTAACCATATTTGGATTGAGACCAGTTTGACAATGATTTGTATAATGTTAGTGTGGTTTAAACAGCTTTCTGTTAAAACCATTTAAAAAACCGAAATATTAAAAAATGAAATAAGCTTATATTTTACATTAATCTAATTCCTAATACGTATTGTATAAAAAGATTAATTTATACAAAATATTTATTCTATTGTTCGAATAAATAAATAAATGGTAAATAAATGATAAATAAATAAATAAATAAATAAATCTTTAAAATAAATAAATAAATAAATAAATAAGCAAATAAATAAAATTATTTATCGATGGATGCATAGATCGGTATAAGTTAATACATTACGTTATGCCAAATCAGTTCTTGTAAATGTGACATTTATCTATCTTATTTACCAAAATCGGGTTAAATTTAAATTCTGAAATTTCAAATCTTTTAGCATAGAATTTTCTTTCTAATAACATTCAAATTACAACTAGGTTAAAATAAAAAGTAATTTAAATAAAGCTTATTGGAAATTGTAGTGAAATTTGTCACATAGGCTATTTTTCGTAGTAATAAACCCACACCGAGGTTCTGCAAGTGCTCCATTAAAACGCGGTACTGTTTTGATAGTACCCATGTGAAAACATTGCAAACACAATTCTCACATATCGTTGAATCTCTCTATTAGATTAATTCTTTAATTAAATTCTTTTTTAATTTTGTTGTACTAAAGATTCACATAGTTTTAGTTTGTTATTCAGTTTTTTGCTAATTTTGAATTTCTTACAAGACTAGTAATATGCATACTCAGATACATGATCTATTTTTATCTTTGTAATTTCTGCAGATAACCTATTGGTTTCTTTAATACATATGGGATCTTTGCTATGAATTTTTTTTACTAAAAATAGATTTATTATAATTTTCCTAATTAAAATCTTGTGTAACAATGACTCGGAGGGTCATTTTGTTAGCAAAGCTCCCATATGTACTTATAACTCTATTGGCAGTTGAATATATTGTCGTGTTTCTTATTTATTATATCATTTTATAAACTTTTTGAATATAAAAGTGATAAACAATGTTGATTTTTTGTTAAAAATAAATTGGATTTTTTAATTTTTTACAAAAATAAAAAAAATTGATATAAAAAGTAAAAAAATGTGAAGTTCCAAACTAAAGAAGCGTGTTTTTAGTTGTTTTTTAATTTTTTTATTTCTTAAATTTTTGATTAGTTATTTTAGTTTTATTTATTTCTAAAAATTTTTTTTTGATTTAGATAAGAAAGTTTATTAAAGAAGAAGAAAAATTTAATTCAAGTTACAAACTATTCAAGTATGTCTATTTTTTAGTATTTATATATTAAGTTTATTGACGACAAGTTTATTTATATAAACTAAAAATATCTTCTGCTTCATATTTAGAGTTTTTAATTTACTTTTAGTACTAAATAGTTATTAAAAAAAATTATGTTTAGTTTACAATACTATAAGTTTATAATATTTTATATAACTAATAAATTGTAAAATTTTATATTTATATTGTTAATCTTAAATATTTTGAAATTTATTAAACTGATTTTAATAATCTAATTATTATTAAAACTAAAAAACCTTTATTATTATTTTATTTTTATTTTTTAATTTTTTTTTGATATTAAGATAAGGTTTTGCCTTTATTTTTATTAATAATTTGTTATAGATAATTATATGAGTTAATACAGACCAGAGTCAATTTACAAATTTTTTACAAGAATGAGACTTAGACTATAGATGAAATTATTATTTAATTTATATAATTTATTTGCAACCTAAACCTACTAGAATGGTTAAAACTTATCTAGATTTAATAATATAAAATATAATTAGTTGAAATACTGTAGTTTATCTACTTGGATATCTATTTAATTAGTTTTTTATTAGCTTTTCCTTGTGATAGGCAAGTATAAGAATTGTAAAAGTCTTCTGTATATTGTTAATTAGGAAGACCACAAGTGCAACTATAAGTATATACTGTTCTGGCTTGTGTTAAAAATCTAAGTATATTTGTATAATTTGTTTGTTAATTACAAGATGGTTGGTTAGAAATATTGTTTTTTGTTTTTATACAGATAATTTGATGTAGTAAGGTTTCCAAATTTGGTTATAAATATTTTATAATAATTGAATTAAAAATTTTATTGTAGTATCAATTGCTAGCTAATTACTAATTGTATATTTTTGTATAGTATTAATTAGTAAGAATAGAACAAAGCCTTGTATTGTTATGTATATGTTTATGTGATTTCTAATAAGATTGTTTGGAGAGAGACATGGATAATTGGTAAGTTTATTGTGTAGTTTTTGTAGTTGTATAGTTGTTATATCTAATTGTAAATAATTAAAGAATTGTTGTATTATATTAGTAATAGTAGAGTTAAGTATAAATACATTTGGGCAAGTTAGCTAATGCAGCTAATTGTCATATATATTGTATAAAATACAATTAAGATTAGGATATATTGTTGAATAAAGAAAATGTAAGTGAGATAATATAGATAGTATTTCTAACATCAGCTTGATTTTAAATATTTTTTCTTGGCATAAAATAAAACTAATATAAGATATAGATCTTTTGTAATTGTTGTTAAGAAAAAGCTAGGTAGTAATCCAGTTAATTTGCAAGAATAGAGAAAAGATGTTTTTCATTCAATGTTGAAAGGACCACATTACAATATTGTAGGCATTACTAATGTTTTTAATAGTTCTACATGTAGGTTGCTCTATAACATATTTGTTATAATAGAGATAATATAATGAATTGTATATATTGATATAAAGAAAACTAAATGTATATAGTTGGTTTTGGTTTTTGGCTAGTTTGTTAACTATGTCATTTAGCATATTACTACTATATACAGTTACTTTTTAGAAATTAATTTGAATTTAGTATGCAGTGATAAAGTTTAGTAGTATGTGCCATATTAACATTATTATTTTATTTAAAAGTTTAATAAACTTTAATTTAATAAAAAATTTTTTAATATTTAAAAAAATATAATGATCTCTAAGATTAATAGCATAGCAGTTATGCTCTGAGGCTACAAATCACAAGGCTGCTAATTTAAATCCTAGTAATGACAATTGTAAAAATGTATTTTTAAAAATAAAAAACTAAAATACTATAGGATCAGGGATCTAGAATGTTTAAGAATGTCCAAAAACAGACTTATTTTCAAAAATAATAAGTAACCTGCAGTTGAGAAGTTACACAGTAACAGATATAAGTTAGAGCTTAATTTGAAATAACTGAAGTTATAAGATATAATGTGAGGCTGAAAGTTTAACAATAAGAGATACTATATAAACTTATAATAACAACTAATTCTATACAGAGCCTAGCAAAACCTTCTAATCTTGGCAAAGATTAGTATAACAGATTATTTCTAAAAAGTTTAAAAATACAGACCAGAAAAAATTGAGGTTCAGTAATCTTAAATATTAAGAACATTAGTTTGGAAAAATATAAAAGATATAAAAAAAGATTTTGACAAAACTGTTAAAAAGAAAAAATATATAAATATATAATTTTTTTTTTACTTTAACAATCTTACTATATACAATATTTTATTTAAAATGCTATTATATATCAAATAAATAAATAAAAATTAGGGTGTAGTGACCTAGTGAAGTGGTTAGATTGTTAACCCCCAAGTGGCAGGTTCAGAGTTCAAATTCCAGTATTAACAGAAAATTTGGTTAACTGTTTCTTGCAATTAGTTGGAATAAGACATCTGTAATCTATATTGCACCAGCATAACTGGCAGGTCACATGGCATTTGTATAACAGTCACATGACATTGTCCTTTGGGACAAGGTCTGTGGTTACATAAAGGAATGCAAACTGATACCAGGTGGTGCAAACCTACAATAAGTCCTTGTGACCATGTAAATCATAGGAACCAATAGAAGAAAAATGAAAGCCTACTTGGAAGACCTAAGTAGAGAGATAACCTGAGCTTTCGATAATACTACTGTAAAAACTAGACCTATGAAACAGAGCTAGAACTTGTGAAACTGGGCAAATGTGCCAGTCTTTGAGGAGGGACTAGATGAACCAACCAGACCACCAGAATTTTTAGGTTCCAGAAAAAAAAAATACATGCTGACAAACATATAAATCAGAGGTATGGTCTCACCTTATCTTTTCGGGCTATCTGAAATGACAGCTTGGTAGAACTTAAATTACATACCAAAGTAGTAAGGATATGTTGTGAAGTAAGTACCAGG